CAAGCCAGCAGATCCCCACTGCTGCTGGGAGACCGCTGCTGGAGCTGCTGCTGCGGCTGTTGCTGCGGAGGCACCGTCGCACCGGCGTTGACACTAGCACCACCGGGCCCACTCTCACACGTACGTGCATTCCCCGACGTATCAGCACCTCCACCTCCTCCACGACCACGACCACCCCTGCGCCGTCCCCGCCCACCAGAGAGGGCAGAGACAACTGCGACTTCCGCTATAGCAGTGAGCTTAGCATCAGCAGCAGAGGCAGCGGGGCAGAGACCTGGGGTGGAGTGCACCTTCAAAGATGGGGGAGACTACCACGCAAGTGGTGGAGGCGATGGTGTGAAGGCGGGTCTTGATTTCAGCGAGACAAGTCATAAAAATATCGATAGTGGGGCGCATGGGGTGCATAGCAAGGAGGGCGCCGCGGGCAGGCGCGAGTCGGTCAGGTAGGCGGGTCACTAGGAAGTGCAAGGTAGCATACCTAGGGGGGGGTGTGCTCGGCAAGGTCGTCCGCAGTGCAAGCGGGGCGGAAGCTAGCGTCAAGCGAGTGCTAGTGGGTAGTGAGATCAGCTACAATGGAGAAAGCAGGGAGATCAGGGAAGAAGAAGGGCATGAAGAGGAGCTCCAGAGTAGCAGAGGAGGGGGTGGAGTAGCGAGCAACAATAGTATCAAGATACGCTTCCACCGTCTCTACCTGGCAAAAGTGCACTCGCTCGACCGACGGCAACGCGCGCAGTACCGTCATGCGACTCCCAAGTCGAGTACCCAACTCGGGACACACGGTGAGCCTCCCGCTCCTCTGCCGAGGGCTCGGTAGTAAGAGCACCAGGACGCTGGAGAGCAGGTAGCTCACCTGACACGTGGGCGTACAGGATGACGTTACCGTAGAACTAGCTCCGCAGTTGGAGATTGACTTTGAGCAGCCATGCGCCAGAGTCAATCGCGAGCCCCTCCGCATCGAGGTGCAGTACAAACTCAGACGTAATGACAGGAGTGAGCAGGGGCACGGCTCCAGCGGACGAGAGGGTACAGCCATAGGCAGAGGAGGAGAAAGTCAGAGGCAGGCATGAAAACAGCGGGCGGCACAACTGGCGGCACAACGACTCGGCCGTGGCAGGGTGGTGTCGAGCAACAACAGGCGATGCGGCAGGCATGATTTGCAGGTACGGCGGGGGGCAACAGCGGCAGGCTCGACGGAGTCGACAGGCGAGGCGGCAAGCGTGCAGGAGGCGCGACCGAGAGATGCGACGGGATGCGCGGTTGGCAGGCGCGGCGACGGGTGATGCGGCAAGTGCGGCAGAGCCGTGACGGGGGGTGACGGGGCCGCGACCGCAGGGCGACGGCATGGCGACAACAGGGCGATGGCAGAGCCGTGACTTGGCTTGGCGGCGACGGGGACACTGTCAGAACTAGCAGTAGAAAGTAAGAATGAAGAAAGGAGGAGGTTCACTAGCAAGCAGTTGAGTACATATAGGAAACCCTAGATTGGGCTGTACTCGCTATAGAGTACCCCACTGCAGGCTAGACAAATACAACATTCTGACACACCCCCATAGCCAAAGTGGGGTGTAATCAGCACAATGAGCAGGTATAGCAGGAGTTCACAATAAGAAGCAAAGTTAGAGGTAATCACAGCGGGCAAGTGAGGAGGAGGAGGGACTGTGAGAGGAGAGAAGATGAGAGACGGCGGCTGAAGCTGCAGACACACGGGCAACAGGAGCTGCTGGCACAGTGGCTACCAGGACAGTGCGCCCCGGACTACTGGAGTAACTGGCTCACGGGCTACGACGAGCTACAGGAGCAACGGACCCTCGGGCGACAGGCGCAGCAGACTCTCTGGGCTACCAGGACAGTGCGCCCCGGACTACAGGTGCTGCGGACGACAAGACAGCAGCCTCCGCTCAACCTCCTCCAACTGTCCCACACACCCCCCACACACCCACTGCTTCACTCCTAACTCCACTTGCACGTCACCCCCCTAGTACCACTCCTTCGGCTCCCACACACCCACCCCCCTCAGCGGCAGCTGCAGCACTGGGAGACGGAGGAGGAGGAGGAGTAGGGGACGACGCACAGAAACTGCACCCCCATACCCCCCACCCCCAAACCCTAATTCAGGAGAACGGGCAGCAGCAGGGGTGGGGCGCCGTCAGAAGCACGGGGGACAGCGGGCAGCGCAGGGGCAGAGAAAACAGGGCGCCCACGGGCCTGGCGCAGCCCGTACGAACCGCGTGCGGGCGGCCCGAGGCGCGCCCTAGCCTGGCGCAGTCCGTACGGGCCGCGCGCGGGCCTGGCGCTGCCCGTACGGGCCGCGCGCGGGCCTGGCGCAGCCCGTACGGGCCGCGCGCGGGCCTGGCGCAGCCCGTACGGGCCGCGCGCAGGCTGTACGGGCCGCGCGCGGGCCCTACGCAGGTCGCGCAGGCCGCGACGGGCGACAGGGGGCGACGCGCGGGTCCCCGTCGCCCGTCGCAGCGCCTCCCGGGAGCGACGCGCGGAGTGACGGGGCAGAAAGCCGCCGCGCGCCTCGGGGCGCACGGCGGGCAGAAAACCGCCGCGCGCCTCGGGGCGCACGGCGGGCAGAAAACCGCCGCGCGCCTCGGGGCGCACGGCGGGCAGAAAACCGCCGCACGCTCCGAGCGCGCGGCGGGATGAAAAATCCGTCGCACGCCACGGGGCGTGCAACACACAGAGTAGCAGTAGCAGCGGAAGCAGTGAGGTGGTGGGCCCACCCACAGGATCGACCCAAGGGGATCGACCTGCTCTGATAGCATGTCAGAACTAGCAGTAGAAAGTAAGAATGAAGAAAGGAGGAGGTTCACTAGCAAGCAGTTGAGTACATATAGGAAACCCTAGATTGGGCTGTACTCGCTATAGAGTACCCCACTGCAGGCTAGACAAATACAACATTCTGACAGACACAACGGCGGGGCGGCGACAGGTGCCGTGACAGGGCCGCGACAGGGCCGTAGCGGGGCGCTAGAGGGGGCCGCTAGAGGGGGGCCGTTAGAGGGGGGCGCAAGATGGTGCGTTTATAGAGGGGCGTTAGAGGGGTCCGCTAAAGGGAGGGGAGACAATTTGTGAGGTAGGTGGGGCGGAAGCAAGGGGCCTAACCTACTCGTGATTCCATGGTAGAACTGAACTAATGCGATGTGAGCACTTACAGAGGGGGTAATGTCTAACACCCTATACCTTCTACAGTACAATCCAACCTAGCCTACAAAGTATGCATGACAAATGTATAAGTGTACGTTGACATTCTGTCGTACGTGGCCTAAGGACCCAGCATATGTAGACGTTCTGTTGAGATGGTTTGCGATATGATCTTAGGTCGCACAATACGGGTAGTAGCTTGTAAGATGTGATGTGAAACAAGCATTTTGCTATGTACCACGCCTCACCAAACTTTTCAATACCAGATTATGAGATTACTTCCTGGTCATGCTCCACGGCTTCAGCCTGAGCGAGTCTCTCGTCACTAGGATAAACCTACTATTTTCTCTCTATCTGACATCAACTTCTATGTTTTAGCCAACTTTACTATAGATCCATACTGAGACCCTCTGTAGTCGGTCAATCATGTCACACCCATTACTTTTGTTTTATTCGCCAGAAACTGACAGGCACTTCGGCGCGACACGGGCTGCCGAACTGCTGAACCGCATGCTACGCCGCACCATCCCGCCGTCCGCTTCCCTCCCCCACCCACCCCACCCCATCTCATTTCGCCACATCACCTCACCTCCGCGTCGCGCCTCACCTCCTCCTCGCCTCACCTTGAACTCACCTCAGGGCCATTTTCAGGTGCAATCCACTCTTGCTAGGAAATCTTCTCATGTGCGATCCAAGTTACAGTACTGTGCAGTTACGAACACTAGATTCATTTGAAGGAATTTCTGATGAGGGATCAGCTGTACTGTTGACGCAGGTGACGGAAGCTGCGCAGGGCAAATCAGCATTCCGTTCTTGGGCGTGTACCCCAAAACACGAGAAGACTGCCCGGGTGATAACAGAGTTTGCCCTCATCGTAATAAATACCATGCTGGATTTTGTTTTCGCACTAGACGACGCTACCAGAAAAGAAGAATTATTTCTGGTAATATATATATATATTTTCTGGGTAGTCGTCTAGTGCGGAAACAAAATTCAGCTTGGTATTTATTACGGTGAGGGTACTCTTTATTATCATCCGGGCAGTCTTCTCGTGTTTTGGGGTACACGCCCAAGAACGGAATGCTGATTTGCCCTGCGCAGCTTCCGTCACCTGCGTCAACAGTACAGCTGATCCCGCATAAGAATTGTTTTATTAAACTTCTGGTGCGAAACAGAAATTGTCGTCGAAATTGGGAAAATATGACGTGTCCATTCGGATTTTGCTTGGCGTGATCCGAAATCGCCTTTGATTTGGACTGTTTGTGTTATTTCGAATCGGATATCGGATGATAAATGATAATCGACAGAAATTCCTTAAAATGAATCTAGTGTTCGTAACTGCACAGTAACTTGGATCGCACATGAGAAGATTTCCTAGCAAGAGTGGATTGCACCTGAAAATGGCCCCTCACCTCACCTCCTCCTCCTCGTCCCCCCAACCACACCTCCCCTCCGCGTTTTCCCGCCTAGCCTCACCGAAACTTGCTCTCCCCCTCGCACGAGCTGTGGAGAGGAATTCGCAGAAAAGGGGCGACGGTTCAGCCCAATATTCATCACTCCAGCATTTGCTCAACTTCAGTTAGCCCCTCTCGCACATTCACTACTACTACTCGACGGCATCTTAGCTTCAGACGGGCTACTAATTCTCCCTGCCAATTCAAGACCCGTTTCTATTCATAGAGCCACTCGGGCCAGTTTTCCAACTTCAGACGGAGAATATAAAATCGCTCTTCATTCCCGTCAACGGAGTCGTGAACAATCCCAGCAGACGTTTCATCCCGCAACTTGCGGCACTCCAGGCATTCCAGCTAGCCTAGAATTCACACTCGACTTTTACCGCTACCGCCGCCGCCATGTCGCCCCCGCAGAGCCCAGCGCAGCAGCCCTCTGCGCAGCAGAGCTTTCTGACCAAGAAGATGGTCATGGGGGGCAGCGTGGTGCTTTGGATCGCTTTAAGCTTCTCCGTTATCATCTTCAACAAGTACATTCTCGACAGCCGACTGCTCAACTGGCCGTTCCCCATCAGCCTGACGATGGTCCACATGGCCTTCTGCTCGTCGCTCGCCTTCCTGCTCGTCAACGTCTTCCGCGTCGTGCAGCCGCTGCCCGGCGGGCTCAAGCCCGAAACCTACTTCACGAGCGTGGTGCCCATCGGCGCGCTGTACGCGCTGAGCCTGTGGTTCTCCAACTCGGCGTACATGTACCTGTCCGTCTCCTTCATCCAGATGCTCAAGGCGCTCATGCCCGTCGCCGTCTACCTGCTCGGCGTCGCCTTCCGCAAGGACGCCTTCCGCGCCGCCTCCTTCGCCAACATGATTCTCATCGCGATCGGCGTCGCCGTGAGCGCGTGGAGCGAGGCCAACTTCAACGCCACGGGCGTGCTGCTGCAGCTCGCCGCCGTCGCGTTCGAGGCGACGCGCCTCGTGCTCATCCAGATGCTGCTGACGGCCAAGGGCATCTCGCTCAACCCCATCACGAGCCTCTACTACATCTCGCCCGTCTGCCTGCTCTTCCTCTCCGTGCCCTGGTTCCTCGTCGAGTTCCCCACGCTCGTCCCCGCCATGGCGGCCGGCGCGCACCCCAGCGTGCTCGTGTTCGGCGCCAACTGCGTGTGCGCGTTCGCGCTGAACCTGGCGGTGTTCCTGCTGATCGGCAAGACGTCGGCGCTGACGATGAACGTGGCGGGGATCATCAAGGACTGGCTGCTCATCGCCTTCTCCTGGTCCGTCATTGCCGATAAAATCACCACCCTCAACCTCCTCGGCTACCTCCTCGCCTTCGCCGGCGTGTGCTGGTACAACCGCGTCAAGATGCACGAGATGAACGCCAAGGAAGCAGCCGCGAAGCAAGCACAACAAGCTGACGAGGAGACAGGCTTGCTTGAGGCGTCCAGAGAAGCTCAAAAGTAGGCCAGGGCAGGCGGCAGAGAAAGGAGGCTGTCACTAAGGCCGTGGCCGTGGCAAAGGCTGCAGCAACGGCCTGCAGCTAATTTGGAAATTTAGAGGCAGGCATATATGTACATTCTGAATATTATGCATGGAATTTATGTTAGAGCTAGCCCATAGAGCACATGTATTGCTCATTTTTATTTTGCTACCCATGTCCTCCTGAATGCAGCTCCCTTGGTGGAAAGAAAAGAAACGAGCAAAAATAGACATTAGCAAGACATGTGCTCATTTTGTTCTCATCATGGGTTTGTTCTCATCAAAGACATCCAATAAGATGGCCAACACATAGGTATGTGCGTTTTATTTGCACAAAGGTCATTGTGTTAGGCTTGAAAGTAAGGACCAACAACTCTTTAACCTTCTCTTAGGTCAACTATGGTTTAGCTTGAGAGAAGCCATGCCCCTATCGTTTTGTTGATGGAACCTGGAATGCACAGTTTTGGAAACACCATCGCCGAGCAAGTAGGGAGATGGGCCCACCCATCACATGCTCGTATGTAGGCATATGCTATCTGTTGCAATGAGAGTAGGCACGTTCCATGATTTTTGTATTTAGTTTCTCAAGCATCATTATGATTATGAGAATGCGTTTACCCTATTCACCTTCTGCAAGCAATTTCTAGCCAGAAATCGGAGAACTTTCAAGCGATATCCGCCAGCCTTGCATGCCCAAGCCTTTTCAAGTCAACGCCGCTCCAGCCGAAGTCCACCCCTTCACCTCCAGCACGGTCAATGACTTCCAAACTCGAGCTGACATGGAATCTTGATGGCGTTCGCATCCCTGCTGTCACTAGCCTGAAATCGCCCGATTACGTCACGGGCACAAAAGTCAGTAATGCACGCGCGCAGTTCGACAACCGCATCTGATCTGACGGGTTCCTGCTTACACCCACCCAAACCATTTCCAGATTCTCGTCGCTCTCTTCCTTGATTTGAAGTCACTCCATGGGCCTGCCAACATCCCACCCCTAAACCTCATGTCACGCAGGCAGACGCAAAGGCAGATTCGTTCTCTGCTTGCCTTCGCTCGTCTCCTCCCCTAATTTCTTCACAATAGTTTATCGATTTCAAGAATAGCGGTTGCTCCTCGAAACTCAGCCTACTGACTTCCCTGTCCCTGTCCCATCTGCCTCACCTCCGCGCATCGTCAGCATGGCGTGTCTCGTTCGTCTCCGTCTCACGCTTTTGCTCCTCGTTCTCGGGTTGAATCAACGCCCACAACCAGCCAATGCGCAGTCCAGCAATGACTGTTATTGCCAAAACCCATCCGGCCCGTCACGGTACTACCAGTATTTGTGCACGTGCAACACGACTGCCTACGACGAGACCCAAGGTGCGGTACCCCCAAGGTATGATACCCCGCACGGGCTGTATTGGACCGAATAAATGCACGTCATATCCTCAGTGAAGATTGGAAGTGAGTCTGATACGATGAAGAAGACACCGCCTTTCTACGGAGTTAGCTCTTGACTTTTCTCTCTCCCTCATTCCCGTTGACATGCTCTTGCATCCGCCTATAGTCCTCATGTGAAGTTTTTTTCGGGCAGCCGCTCCTTGTAGTACCCGTACATGCTGGGCCAGCTCGCTGGGGCTGAACAATTCTCTGGTTTCCCTCCCCCCTCCACCCTCCCCCCCCCTGCACTCCCTTCCGGGTCCCCGCGCAGCCAAGGTGATGGCGGAGTTCGTGCCATGCGGCCTGACAGACTCCTTCAGCCCGTCCTACTGCTCCGTTCCAGGCGTGCACTGCGACTACCGCGGCATGGTCAACTTGCTGTGAGTGACCCCATCGCATCGATCATCGAGCACCCAATAGCATGGGGCGGATTCATTTATCAGCTTCAACATAGTATGTATCTTGTTAGTGCGCGGCGGCGCCTCACATCCCCGTCGCATGCCACATGCTTTTGTTTCCGAAACACTGCAACTATCGCATCTTGAAATTTTCCAACCCAACCCAACTTTCGCAGCACTGGGCCCTGGGCCGTTGCATGGAATGGCATGACATTGGCATTGCGCATGCATCTGGATGACATGAAATTGCCGCTTGCATGGCGCTTGCTGACATGCGAGTCATGGAAATTCGCTTTCCATCGTGCGAATCCTCTCCTCAGAGACCTCGGAAGTCACTCTCTTGCCGGCTGCAGTGTTAGGGTTGGTTCGCCCAACCACGGAACCTACGGCGAAAGCTTCTACGACGGCGGAATGACGGCGAAATGGAAGCACGTGGATGATTCTAGGTGAAACGGTGGAAATCGGCCTACGGTGGAGAATGGAAGCTACGGCGTGAGAAGCGAGAGAGAAATTGGGAAGAAACTAGAGAAATGGAGGAAGAAGAGTGAAGAAGTATCGAGATTGGAGTTGACAAGGGGAAATTGTGGTTCGAGACTGAGGCGTGTTCGAGAAGGTGCTGGATTCGGACTCGAGGAGTGTTCGGCGAATTCGGTTCGGTTCCGTGTGCGACTCGGGGATCACGAGGCGCACGCGGTTACTTGGGAAACAAGTGAAGTTACGAATCGCATTTTGTGTCTTGCTTGACTATAAAACTGCTTGTACTCATTCTGGAAATCACAACATTGGACAACTTGGAGATTCTGAAAATTGCTGAAGTGTGTATTGACAACTTCAAGCAGAGCTGCGCATATCATTGGATTCGTGAGATCGTGGAGAACGCGATAAGCAATAGCAAGTAGACTATTGCCGACTAAGGTGTTTACGATCCTAAGAGCTGGTATCAGAGCTTGGCGAACGGGCTCGTCGATCGCGGTGAATTCACTTGGTGCGCTAAGTGAAATTAGTGGAGAAGAGGAGTCGTTCACGCCTACGCCATGGGAGACGAGGCGAGTTCGGGTTCCAGTGTGAGTCTTGGAGACCCGCAGTTGAAGGCTCTTCTCGAGGCCCTTGCGAGTGGCCGATTGGTGACGAAACCGACGATCGGGCTCAGTGAAGCCCAGCGCTTCAACGGAAGCAACTACAACGTGTGGCGGAAGAAGTTTATTCGGAGGGCAGAGGAGGTTGACCTCTTGCCGTACTACCGTCCCGACGAGGAGACGATGGAGGGAGTTGCGCCATCCCCGGCGGATACGAAGGAGAAAATAGCGGCGTTCAAAAAACAAAGTAAGCAAGCGTTCTTTCAGCTTTGTCACTCAGTTGCCGATGGAATCGCGGTGGATTTGGACCAGTTTGCAGGGGAGTTGAACTCTGCACAGAAAGCGTGGGAGTACCTGGAGTCCACGTACATGGGCACGAACGATGTCAACAAGAAGGCGATTATGAAGCAACTGCTGATGCTGAGCATGGAGAAAGGCGAGAAAATAATCACCTACATCAACAGGGCGAAAAGCTACAACGACGATTTGCGGGTGATGGGAGCCGCGGAGACGGAGCACGAGATGATTGACTATATCATCCAAGGCCTTCCTAAAGAATGGGAATCCGACATTGGAATGTTTACGTACCAACCGCCGGAGAGTTTGACGAAGCTGCAGGAGATTCTGCAATCGCTTGAGACGGTGAAGGAGATGAGGAAGAAGAAAGCGGCAGTAGCAGCTACTGAATTCGACGAGGAAAGGCCGGCTTTGGTGAATGCAACGAAGGCGTTTGGAGCGTGCTACCAGTGTGGAAAGAGGGGGCATAAGGCGATAAACTGCTACGAAAACCCGCGAAGCAGAAACTACAAGGGCAAAGCGGTGGAGAACGAAGATGGAGAAAACAGGGGAGCGGAGTGGCAACAGAAACGAGGTTTTGGCGGCAAGTGCGATTATTGTGGGCGCTATGGGCATCGTGCCGCAGAGTGCTACTCCAATCCGAACAGCAGGAGCTACAAGGGTCCGTCGCAGCAGAGGAATGTGGCGGCTAAGGCGAATGTAGCGGAAGCGAACGAGGATGATGTGATCCTTGGAGGAGCGCATCGTGCGAACGTGGTGCGTTTACCAAAGGAGGTTCGGCAGAAGGACGGACGTCAGAAGACGGCATGGTTCATGGACAGCGGGTGCACGCGTCACATGACATTCAGGTCAGATTGGATGGAGAACGTGAGGGAGTCGAGTGAGCGTTATATACTGCAAAGTAACAGTGGGAAGTTACCAGTTACAGGACAGGGTGATGTGGTGCTGCAGAGTCCGTATGGAGAGGTGAAGCTGGAGAATGTGCTCTTGGTTGAGGATTTGAAGGTGAATTTGGTCAGTCAGTCACAGCTTGATGAGTTGGGGTGCAAGATATTTTATGACAGTGGCAAGGTTACAGTGTTTGGCCCTGAGTGGGAGAAGTACGCAGAGGGTTACTTCAGTGACGGATTTTATAAGATAAACGTGATAGTGACGAATGATATGGATGAGATCTATGAGGATCCTGAGTATGCTGAGATGGGAAAATTCAAGGAGTTATCGGTTGAGGATGATGAGAGTGAGGGCTTGGATGATACGGCAGCAAGTGTGGAGGCAGCAGTGAAACTGGAAGAGGAGATAGTCACCATGGAGGTAGCAGCAGTGAATGGTGGAGATGGAGACGATGTCAACACTTTTGCAGCAGTGATCGTGGTTGAAGATGAAGCAGTAAATGCGAAGTGTGTGGGAGTTGAAGCTGTGAAAGGGGACATCATGGTGAAGGGATCAAAGGTGAATGCAACTGCAAAGGGGCGAGTGCTTACGAAAGAGGAACACGTTGAGGGGTACGAGACCCGAGATGTGTTGGGTGTTAAGTTGCCGAGGAGAAGTGAGAGGCTTCAGAAAATCACTCAAGGTTTGGATGTAAAGGCGCTCAACTTCAAGACACGTAAGCAGAGGTTCAAGGTGTAGGAGCTGCAGGGGAGCTTGAAGCCAAGTTAGACCCCGTGAAGGCTACAAGGAGCAGGGGAGGAGTGCGAGTAGAGTTCGTGGTTGACGAGCCACAGGGGAGATTGTTAGGGTTGGTTCGCCCAACCACGGAACCTACGGCGAAAGCTTCTACGACGGCGGAATGACGGCGAAATGGAAGCACGTGGATGATTCTAGGTGAAACGGTGGAAATCGGCCTACGGTGGAGAATGGAAGCTACGGCGTGAGAAGCGAGAGAGAAATTGGGAAGAAACTAGAGAAATGGAGGAAGAAGAGTGAAGAAGTATCGAGATTGGAGTTGACAAGGGGAAATTGTGGTTCGAGACTGAGGCGTGTTCGAGAAGGTGCTGGATTCGGACTCGAGGAGTGTTCGGCGAATTCGGTTCGGTTCCGTGTGCGACTCGGGGTAAAACGAGGCGCACGCGGTTACTTGGGAAACAAGTGAAGTTACGAATCGCATTTTGTGTCTTGCTTGACTATAAAACTGCTTGTACTCATTCTGGAAATCACAACATTGGACAACTTGGAGATTCTGAAAATTGCTGAAGTGTGTATTGACAACTTCAAGCAGAGCTGCGCATATCATTGGATTCGTGAGATCGTGGAGAACACGATAAGCAATAGCAAGTAGACTATTGCCGACTAAGGTGTTTACGATCCTAAGATGCAGCATCCCCTACAGCATCAGCAAGCTCACTGAAATGACCAAACTGTACGTCCCTCTCACCACCATCCCTTGTCCCTCCCACCACCACCACCCCTTCTCACTTCACACATCAACTAGTGCCTTTTGGAGTTGCTTCCATCGCTCTCTTGTGTATGCCAATCTCACCACACCAATATCATCTCATGCACTCATAGCCCGATTCTCACTGGCCGTGGATCCTTTGCCTCTCTGGTTATCTCTTTCCAGTGGCATCCACAGATTACATGGACCACGACTTAAAAGATGTAAGCGCGGCCGACATTGCAGGGATTGTGGTTGCGTCTGTTGTCCTCTTGCCTCTGCTGCTGCTGATTGTCTACCTGACTTACATCCGCGTGAAGGAGCAGAGGGAGAAGGAGAGCAAGGAAGAGGGGGAGGCGGAGAGGATGGAAGGCGGAGGCAGTGAGGGGGAGATGGGGGAGGGGGGAGATGCGAAGGCAACTGTGGTGGAGAATGGTGGTGGATGGTGGTTCTTCAGAAAGAGCAGTGGTGGCGCACAGGCAGCAGCAGGGGATGTTGCACTGGCAATACCAGCACTTTCAGCTGACAGCACAACAGCAGCAGCGGCAGCAGCAGGAGAAGGAAAAGAAGCAGCAGCGGCAGCACGAGCAGCTGAGGCAGTAGGAGAAGGAGGAGCAGGGGGAGCAGGAGGAGGGTGGAGGTGGCCATGGCAGGCAGCTGCTGCTCCTTCCGCCGCAGAGGAGGCAGCAGCACACGCAGCAGCCATTGCAGCAGCAGGAGGCACAGCAGCAGCAGTGGCAGCGCCAGCAGCGGGTGCAACGGGGGGGAATGTGGGAGCAGCAGCAGCGGTGGCGGAGGCGCGGCCTTTGGTGTGCCGGCAGTACTCGCTGGCGGAGGTGGCGGCAACGACGGGCGAGTGGGCGGAGGCGAACCGCATTGGCAGCGGCAGCTTCGGGGATGTGTACAAGGGCGCCAACCCCACCGCTCCCCATGACATCTGGGCCGTCAAACGCGCCAAGGTCCTCACCAACGACTTCAAGCGCGAGGTGTGTGGCACTCTCTCTCAGTGAATGGTTTCTAGCACTCCGTATCCCATGTGCAGCCTGTCCTCACCAACGACTTCAAGCGCGAGGTCAGCTGCACATGCTCTCGACCCCACTCGCTTACTAACCTCTTCTCTGCAGGCTGTAACAGCAATTCCTAACAGCTTTAATGCCCACTCCTTCACGTCTCACTCCTCACGCCCCACCACTTCCCTTCCAGCCCACCAACCCCTCCTTTCTTAACCCTATCCCCCTCCCCTATCGGTGCACAGGTGAACGAGATGGCGACGAAGAGCCAGCCGAGTCAGTCCCTCAACCCCTCCAACCTGTCCCCCTTTACACTTTCCCCCCCCACCAACTTCCCTGGACGGTGAGCAGGTGAACGAGATGGCGACGAAGAGCCATCCGCATCTGGTGCGGCTGCTGGGGTACTGCTTGGACATCAGTCCAGACACGGAGCGCATGGAGCAGATCGTCATCTACGAGTTCGTTGACAACGGCGACCTCGACCGCTGGATCGGACCGAGTGAGCCCTTTAACACTCGCACTTCCATGCCCTGGTACGCTGGTACGCTGGTACGCTGGTACGCTGGATTGGACCCCGTGAGCCCTTCTCTCTTCACTGGCACCATGCTGCTCTGCGTTATGGGCTCACTGGATCGGACACGTGAGCCTCCTACTGCTGCCGCCACCGCATATGCAGCTTATTATCAGCTCTTATTCGACACTTCTTGCATGTTGGCACTTTTATGTGTCCCACGCCTGCGTGCAGGGAGTCCCCACCCCCTGGCGGTGCGGGTGCGGCTGGACATTCTCATCGGCATGGCCCGCGGCCTCGAGTATCTCCACGCTTTGGCATCGTGCACCGCGACATCAAGCCCGCCAACATCCTCCTCGACTCCAACATGCAGGTCAGTGGACACCAACAGAGACAACCACCCGTCCTTGACCTTCCCTTCTTTATAAGGTTTAAGGTCCCTTCAAAAAGCTACAAGTCTGCAACTCCCAGCCATGCATTAAATGTATGAAACTTTGCTCGATAAACTAGTTGGTAGTGAGAATCATTGTGTTGAATCATTCCCCTTGGGGTCCATCCCCTGCAGCCCAAGATAGCGGACTTTGGGCTGGTGAGGCATGGCGAGGGCACGTCGGTGATTGCCACGCGGGTGATGGGCACACCGGGCTATGTGGACCCGGCTTACTACAAGTCACAGAAGGCCACACCGAAGGCTGACGTGCACAGGTACCGTATTATCAAACGTGTGAATGTGTGTGTGTGTGTTTTTTTTTTTTTTCTTTTTCTTTTTTTTTCTGACGCTTTCGATACTGTTGTGCCTAATGCTTGTGTACTTTCTCTCACTCGCAGCTTTGGAGTGGTGATGCTGACGCTCATCACAGCTCGCAAGGCCATCTACAACGCGGATGCAGATCAGATCAACCTCAAGCAATGGGTGAGCTGCCTCTCCCTCACCCTTTCTACCTCCTCTCTCTCAGATTTTTCTTCTCCCATCTATATATTCAACCTAGATCTTATTCCTGTATTGCTCTTGAACTAACTACAACTACATTGTATACAACTAAGTGCTCGCTATCAAAACAACACATCACGCATTCCTGTGACCCTCCTCGTTCAGGTGGCTCCGCTGCTGGCAGCGGGCGACGCAGGAGCGATGAGGGACCCGCAGCTGGAGGCGCCGGACGACTTGGTGCTGCGCATGGCCCGCCTCGCCCTGCGCTGCACCGCCATGCCCACCGCCTCGCGCCCCTCCATCAGCCGTGTGCTCGGCGAGCTGCTCGTCATGAAGGAGGAGTTTCTCGGGCAGGAGGAGGACCGCATGGCGGCGCGCATTGACCGCGAGCTGGAGAGCTCCTCTGATGTCAACCTCAGCATGGAGATTGCACGTGCCCAGGGAGCAAGGAGCAGCGGAGGAATTTCGAGCAACGTATGAGCCCAATTGTTGGTCTCCGGCTAGAATGGTTCAGATCGGCACCCGTTAGACCTTTATGGGACCTTCAAGCCATACAACTGTAGACTCCCTACATGGTGCCCAGGCACAAATTTTATTGTGAGCAAGAAACTAATGTGTCATTCAAAGACTTGGGCATGGTGGAGTCATTCTAAACGAGTTTGGTATAGTGTATGTTAACAAAAGGTGGTTCAAGTGTCTGTAGTTGTCAAAGATATGCATATGTTATATTTGTGGGTAGGCTGTAGTGGGGTAGATACTGTGGGGTATAACCCCTTAGGGTTTTCTCCTTGTACCAATTCTCTCGATAGTCAACTTCACTCATGCCTAGATTCTAAGAAGGTATCTAGAGCCTAGAGGTCTTTAGTGTTGGAAACAATTGATTTAGCGCCTCTGTCGTGTCAAAACACCAAGTCAGAAGCGAAGCAAAACATATCGAAGCATTAGCGAGTCAACCCTCGGAGGTTGAACAACTGCTGGAGGTTACGCGAAAGTCAAAGGTCAGCGACCTTTGACCTGACAAGTACAGCACGACAGCAAGGACAAACAGCTGACTCGTTATTGAGCAGTTGCCCGAGTCGTCACTGTATCGAACCGCAACAGCAACAGTAAAACGGTTATTAACCGTATCTTCGTATTCCTTGTACTCTTTTAAAAGGCTTGTATCTCTTTGTTTTAATTAATCGACTTTGCCCTCACATACCAGCGCAAGGTGGTTCACAGACTTATCTTCAAACGCTTCCGCTATTACACTGTTCCTACTCAGAGTTTTAGCCCTGCAAAGATCCCAAGGGCTTTTCTCAGCCCAACATGGTATGAGAGCTATCAGGGCAAACTCAACTACTATCAAGACACCCACAACACCAGAAGGCATGGCAACGCAGAAGGAGAGAAGCTCCTCTAACGGCTCTCCTAGTACTACTCCTACTCCACCTCCTGCCTCTGGCCTACAGACAGAGGAGGGCACAGCAACAAGACCGGCAGCTGGGTCTACCGAAACTCCTAGAATCAGGCCGCGGGCTTCGACCCAAGCATGATGGAGAAGTTCTTCTCCTTCATGTCCTTCTACGAACAGCACCAGCAAGGAGCACCTGCGCAGTCAAACAATAGCAGCAACAACAACGACGTGACGCCCATGAGCCTCGACGGGTCATCCTACACGCGAGGAAATCAACAGCAGCAGCCTACCTTTGCTCCGTACGAGCCCCAGCGCGGTTCTGTCAGCTTTATGCCGCGCCAGCCTTCACCTGAGCAAGAGAAGACATTGGATCCACTTCAAGTTCAGTCGCAGTTTGCGCACGTCTTAAAACTGCAGACATCAAGACCATTTGACGAAAATGACTTCTTTACCTGGTCGTTCGAATTCGAGCTAATGATGGAAGGCGCATAGATTCTTGGCTTCTTCGACGGGTCTCTGCCATATCCAACGCACGGGACGCAATACGACAAGCAGCAGTATACATATCAGTCCATGATGGCGTACACAATCCTACTGCGCAACGTCACACCGAACCAACAGCAAAACATTCGGTCTTATCGGGGATACGGCAACTCCGCCGAGCTCGCGTACAACCACTTGAAGAACCTGTATCAGGCAACAGACAGTGTTAACCAGAGTCGGTTAATGGCACAACTGACAACAGTGGAAATGAAACCAGGCGAAAAGGGGATGGCGTATATATCAGTCGCTGTCGCGAATTGCGTGACAAACTCCTTCGATGCGGAGGATCGATATCAGAAGACGCTTTCGTCACAGTCATTATTGGCGGCCTTGGTCCTCATTGGCGTTCCACCCGCGCCATACTCCGAGCTCACGGGAAAATCTCTGAAGCAGCACTCTGCGCTGAAATACACGCTGAACAGCAAGACATGGATCTGCAAGAAGAACGGCACAAGAAGAAGACGTCAGTACCCGAGTTTGCGTTTCACACTCAACGACGCTACAACAACAACAACAATCGGCATCAACCAAAACCCGTACCTCCGTTCTGTCATCTCTGCAAGACTTCAGGGCACCCTCGCACACACTGCCCGAATCGACAGCAGTCAACGCCGCCGCAACGCCAACTTCGTCCTTCAAGCAGTCAAGTGGCATCCACACAAGCGCACCCCACGAGTCAACTGCAGTCCTCAACGACATCGTCAACACAATCTGCACAAGGAGCAAGAAACATCGTCAGCTGCATGGCAAAATTGACTGACTCCTGCATCACCAAGTCACCACCACACTACTCACCGGAAGAGCAACTCGACGACAGCACACCTCGCCGCGGGTCACTTCAACCGAACCCGACGTATGCAGCCATCGCTCAAAGTGAACCGTTCGGGAAAGATACGTGGTTCTTGGACAGTTGCTACGGACAGCACATGTGCTCTTCAGGACACTTCGTTCAACGCGAACACCAACTTCAACGCGAAGTCGTCATCACCGTCGCCAACAACCAGAACCTGCGCACACGACGACAGGGCGTAGTGCAACTTCAGTCACGAGAGACAAACGTCATACTGCAAATGTCAAAGGTTTTAATTGCGGAGGGACTCGGCTACAACTTACTAAGCGTCAGTCAGCTGATGGCGAAAGGCATCCACCTCGAAGCAGACAGCACAACACATGAATTCAAGTCATACCACGGGAAGGGCGGTCTCTACATCGGGAAGGCGGTCCTGAAAAATAACGTTTTCGTCCTTGACTTCGTCCCAGATCTTGGCACCGCTGACAGCGACGGAATCGTCACCTTCACCTCCTGGACGCACCCACCGGATCTTGATCCTGACTTCAGCCCCGAAGGTTTCTGGTATTCGCACACCATTCCTGAGACAGAACGAACAAGAGCATTAGCAACGATTCAACACTCGGCAGCAGCAGAGACAACATCGGCAGCAGCAGAGACAACATCGGTAGCAGCAGAGACAACATCAGCACCAATCGCGGGTCCTTCAACTGCACCAGCCCCAATCGACGACGACACTCCACCGACTCCTGCGCAACAACTGAATCCGATACCACGAGAAGTCCATCGAAGCGCAAACCACACCGCAGGCTTCTACTCCAACTCCGACTTGTACCGTCGCTCACCCGGACATCGCGCTGACGAAGATCTCTGGCATAAGCGAATGGGACACCCAAGCAACACGACGTTAAACAACACGATACGAGCAGGCGTCCTTGACAAAGACTCACCCCTCTTACCCGACGGCAGAGAACTTCGACAAATGAGAGGAACTTGCTTCACCTGCCCAGAAGCTGACTTACAGCATCAGCCCTTTGTTTCCCATCACAATCCAAGCGCACCAGCATACACACCTCTGGAGAAGGTCTACAGCGACATACTTTACAATCGCGAACTCGGTCAAGGAGCATACAACTACACCATCACGTTCATCGACGCCGCCACTCGTTATGTCTGGCATCTCAACCTTCCAAGCCGCGACATGGCCTTCGAAGCCTTCGTAGCCTGGCTCCCAGTAGCAGAACGGGAATCGGGAGTTAAGCTGAAGATCTTTCAGTCTGACGGGGGAGGAGAATACACCTCACAGAGGTTCAAGCAGTACTTGGCAGAGAGAGGAATCAAGCGGCTCATCTCCCTTCCCTACGCCCATCAACAGCAGGGTGTAGCAGAAAGAATGAACAGGACCCTTCAGAACACCATGCGCAAGCTGCTACGTGGCATGCGGCTACCCAACCACCAGTGGCCCGAGGCAATGGACCACGCCGTGATGCTACACAACTTGCTTTCGTCATCATCGCTCCCGAACAACGCATCACCGCATCTGCTGTGGACAGGAAAACTGGGCAGCAAAAAAATGTTGCGAAACTTCGGATGCATGGTACAGTACCGACCCCCAGCTGCACGCGCTGGCCGATTCTCCCAACGTGCACAGTGGGGACTACACCTGGGCATTGAAAAGAATTACAACGCGTGGAAGATTTTCGACGTCCACTCAAAAGAAACAGTGGCAGCACGTGATGTCATTTTCTACGAGCGACTCACTCTCTCAACGTACCTGCACAACTTGGAGACTTCACGAGATGTCACCGGCGGATTTCGTGGGGACAGAGCCTTCGCCTCGGCAGAAGATGAAGCTGACCTGGACGAGCAGACCATGGACGGAGCTTCGGAAGAAGCCGGACCACTTCCCTACTGCTCGGTGGATGTTCCAATGGACGATGAGAACCCTCGCGAAAGCATCAACGCCGAAGTCTTCTACGACTTCGCCGACAACGGTTACGTTACACCCGCCCGAGTCAACACCAACGAAGCCGAACGCATAGGACCCAACTTCTTACCTGATCCAGAAGAAGGTGACGAAGCAGCTTATCCCGAGGATACGACACTCCCCCGCTACACACAGAGTGGACTCCAGATACTCGGCCTCGTCACCGCGGTTCACGGCACAGCCATTCCTAAGGAGCCTGCCACTGTTCAGCAGGCTCTGGGGGGGGAGCATAGGGAAAAATGGCGCGAAGCCATGGACAAGGAGCTGAAAGCACTGGAAGAACGGAACACCTGGAAGGTTGTTCCCATCGGCGTAGCACGAAACAAGACAGTACTCACTGGGAAATGAGTCTTCCGTGTGAAGACAAAGGCAGACGGCACCATCGACAAGTTTAAAGCACGCTGGGTCGTACGCGGCTTCGACCAAGAACACGGACGTGACTTCACCGAAACATTTGCGCCGGTCAGCCGACACACCTCACTGCGAATTCTCCTCGCGATCGCCGCCATGAAGAAAAAGAAACTGCGGCAAATTGATGTCGCCAACGCATTTCTCTACGCACCTGTCGACGCAGAAATCTTCGTCGAACTACCACATGGCTCCAACGGAGAGCCTAACCAAGTCTGTCAGCTGCTGAAGTCGCTCTACGGTATCAAACAAGCTCCGAGGCTGTGGCAACAGTACCTCCACGCAAGACTTATCCGCATAGGATTCCGCCAGCTACCTCATGACCAGGGCATGTACCGGCTTACAAAAGGCACCGA